TTTCAGCCGCGCATTGTTGGCGGCGATGCCCCCCAGGTTTCCGTGGTCGGAAGTCTTATAATGGCGATTTCTTCGAGGTTCGACCGACCCTCGTTTCCTCCGCGCCATTTTCTTCTCCGTCTCTTCACCGGTTCTAATGGTTCACGCGTTGCCCGCTTTTGGAAAGAGCTCAAAGGCTCCCGATTCACACCCCCCTCGGCCGGCCATCGCCGTTTTCGTATTATCATCATACCAAACGGAGAATGCAGGGACGGTGCACTCGCGGCTACGCTCCGTTGATGATGGCCCCCGTCTTCTGGTCACTTCTTCTTATTCTTATCCTTTCGTCGTTGTTCCATCGCAACCCTCTTTGTTTCAACTCGAGGATAGGTGGATAATAACAAGCGTGGGAAAAGTATGGGGAAGATTAATGCGGAATTTGTGAGAGTTTCTTCTCGTTTGGATAATAAGAATTTCCTTCAAATTTATATATATACACTTATTCTTATGGAATTAATCGTTAATTCTTCTGTATTAATTCGTAGTAAACCTTTTTTCGTAATAAAATCTTCTTTCTCCCTCGTTGGGGAAAAGGGAATATTCACATATTTTTAAGAACGATCCGATTCAGAGTCTGAACATTTACTTTCATCGTAGCTTAAATCAGATTCCAAACGAACGATATTCCAATCTTCGAAAGCGATCTTCGACCCCCAAACTCCTCCTCCGAGTATCATTCACGGGAACGTCTCCCGTCACTGCCGTTTCGTTGCCGCGACAATGGTATAAGGTTGCGTTCAATTACTAGATCGGCATCTGTCGATTCCCGATCCTCGCTTCCTTATCTCTCGCCAATGGCATCCCCGCGAAATCGGCGGGTAACAGATGTTCGATGAATCCGGCCATATCCCCCTCGATTCGCCTCCTTTGCGCAGATTTGTTTGACATCCCGCCCTCCCCATTGTGCCCATTGTCTCTCGCACCGTAATTTTGAATTTCTCCAGAAAAAAAGGAGAAGAAAAGAAAAGAGCGGGATTCGAACAATCGAGCGTGAAATTATTATGATCGTGAACGAATGAGTTCAGATTCGAAGAAGCTGTTTTTTTCTTTCTTTTTTTTACGTTTCTGTAAGACGAATAATTATTACACGGTTCCTTATTTTGTAGATTCTTTAATTCTGGAAATTAGTTATATAGGAATTATTTTTTTCAAAGTCTGATATTTGTTACGAGGTTACAAAACAGTATAATATATATTTTTTAATTTTTAAGGCTGTATTTATAATTCTGAAGTAGCATAAAATAGTTAAAAAAAAATATATAATATCATCTTAGTGTTAAAACCAAATTGCACATAATAAATGGAAAATTATTAAAAACATCTTGTAAATAAGATCAGATCAGATAACAATTCAAAGTGTAATATCCTCCTATGAATGTATATATATATATATTCTTATAAATAATATCATCGTAACAAAAATTATTTGACATTGTACACTCGCGACTGTTCTTCATCGTAAGAGGATGGATACGGGGGAAAGGGTTAAAAAATATTTCTATCCCACGTAAAAATCGGATCATAAAAAGAGGAGGGTAAGCGAAGGAGAAATAAGTTAAGTAGTCACGCGACGTGCCCCGTGTTTATTTTCGAAAACACGGGTCAAAAGTTGGC